CCCAGCCTGGAGTGCAGCGATGCGATCTTGGCTCACTGCAACCTCCACCTCCCAGGTTCAAGCGGTTCTCCTGCCTCAGCCTCCCGCGTACCTGGGAGTACAGGTTCCCGCCACCATGCCCGGCTGACAATATACATATATAACTTATCACAGTCTACTGGTAGTGATACTTCACCATTGCAAGTAAAATGTAGAAAACTTATTCCCATTTATGTCCTTCTTTCCTCCCTGCTTAAGAAATATAATTGTCCCAGTATCACATAATGACATTTAGGTCAACAATAGACCAATATATGATAGCTGTCCCATAAGATTATAGTACCTCTTTTATGTTTAGCTATGTTTAAATAAATACCACTGGTTACAATCACTTGTAATATTCAGTATAATCACATGCCATTCACTCTATGATGTTTGCACAATGACAGAATTGCCTAATGACTCATTTCTGAGAATACATCCCTGTCATTAAGTGACACATGACTGTGTTTTCTGTACATATATTGAGCATTGCATTAGACTGTAAGTTCTGCTTCAACCATCAAACACAATTTTAAAAACTGTAAGGACAGCTCATTATATTTAACCCGATTTTTTAAAGCCAATTTCTCTGTTCTTTCTTTTCTTTTCTTTTTTTGAGACAAGGGCTCACTCTGTCACCCAGCTTGGAGTATAGTGGTGCAGTCTCAGCTCACTACAACCTCTGCCTCTTGGGCTCAAGGATCCTCCCACTTCAGCCTCCTGAGTAGCTGGGACTACAGGCATGTGCCACCATACCTGCCTAACTTGTGTTTTTTGTAGAGGTAGGGTTTTGCCACGTTCCCCAGTCTGGTCTCAAATTCCTGACCTCAAGTGATCTGTCCGCCTTGACTTCCCAAAATAGATGACAGGTGTGAGCCACTGCGCCTCACCTTTCTTTTCTTTTTGACGTTCCAGGATTCCTTTTGTTATCACTTCCATCTTGTTCAGAGGATGACCTTTAGGCGTTCTGTAGGAGTAGGTCAGCTGGTGACAAATTATCTTGGGCTTCTCTGCCTGACAGACTTAATTTCTCCTCATTCATAATAAATATTTTTATTCACCGTAGAGTTGACATTGATCGTTTTTTCTTTCAGAATTGGAAAATGATTGTGCCACTTCCCTCTTGCCTCCATGATTTCAGATAAGAAATCTGCTGTTGTTTGAATTTTTTTTTAGACGGAGTCTTGCTCTGTCGCCCAGGGTGGAGTACAGTGGTATGATCTTGGCTCACTGCAGCCTCCACCTCCTGGGTTCAAGTTGTTCTCCTGCCTCAGCCTCCCAAGCAGCTGGGTTTACAGGCACGTGCCACCACACCTGGCTAATTTTTGAAGTTTTAGTAGAGATGAGATTTTGCCATGTTGGCCAGGCTGGTCTTGAACTCCTGATCTCAAGTGATCTGCCCATGTCGGGCCCCCAAAGTGCCGGGATTACAGGTGTCAGCCATATGGCCCAGCCAGATTTGTTCTCTCATAGGTAATGCATTACTTTTATCTATCTTCAGGGTTTTTTCTGTCTTTAGTGTTCACAGGTTTGATGACAATGTGTTTTGGGTTGTATTTCGTTAGGTTTACTCGAGTTCACTCAGCTTCTTGAATGAATAAGTTTATGCCTTTCATCAAATTTTGACAAACTGCAGTGATAATTTCTTCAAATATTTTTTTCTGTCCCACACTTTATCTCCTCCTTTTAGTACTTCGATGACATAAACGTTAGCTCTTCTGTTACTATCTTCCCACAGGTCTCTGAGGCTCTGCTCCTTTCTTTCCTATCTATTTTCCTTTGTTGGTCAGACTAGGTAAATTATGTTGATCTGACTTCAATATGTTTTAATATTTTCTCTTCAACTTATTACTGAGGCTATCCAATGAGTGTTGTGAGACCGATGCACTGTCTACTGTGCTAACGAGCCCCTCCATCCAGTGAGTTTTAAATTTTGATTATTTAAAAATTTAACAATTTCCTCTGGTTCTTTTTACTTTTATTTTATTTTATTTTTGGGAGGAAGGAGTTTTGTTCTTGTCACCCAGGCTGGAGTGCAATGGCACGATCTCAGCTCACTGCAACCTCCACCTCCCAGGTCAAGCAATTCTCCTGCCTCAGCCTCTCAAGTAGCTGGGATTACAGGCACACACCATCACGCCTGGCTAATTTTTGTATTTATAGTAGAAACAGGGTTTCACCATGTTGGCCAGGCTGGTCTCGAACTCCTGATCTCAGGTGGTCCACCAGCCTGGGCCTCCCAAAGTGCTGGGATAACAGGCACAAGCCACTACACCTGGCCTGTTTTTATTTTTTTGAGATAAGGTCTCAGTCATCACCCAGGTTGGAGTGGAATGGCTCTGCACTCCACTCAGGCTCACTGTAGCTTTCATCGCCTGGGGCCAAGCAGTCCTCTTACCACGTCAACCTCCAAGTAGCAGGGACCATGTATACATGCCACCGTGCCCAGCTAATTTCTTTTTATTATTATTTGTAGAGATGAGGTCTTGCTATGTTACCCAGGCTGGTTTTGCACTCCTAGGCTCAAGCAATCCTCCCACCTTGGCCTCCCAAAGTGTTGGGATTGCAGGCATGAGCCACTGTGCCTGGTCTTCATTAATTCATGTCTTCTATTTATTTTCTTTTCTTCTTCTTCATCTTTTCTTTTTTCTTTTTTTTTTTTTTT